ACACAAAAGTGCAAACATGAAGACGCTGCAGAGCGTAACTGCAAGCTCAAGACAAGACAGACACAAACACAACCGCATCCATCAAGCCAAATCTAGACGAAGACACATTCGGAGACAAACGCGCAGACGAGCGACATTACAGGCATAGACACAAAGACAAACACACCCACACACACACACACACAAGCACAAACAAAGAAACAAACAACCACGGTCACATACAACCACAGAGGCAAACACAAACGCAGACACTCGGAGAACAGCGCAGAAACGAACAGACGCACAGACAAGCAACCAAGCAGACACACGCACACAAACAAGAGCTCACAAAACAATCATGGAGACACACCCAACCAGAAACACAAAGACAGCAACTGACAGAAGCACAAGACACACACACACACACACGCACAAGCAGGGGCAAGCACAAACATGGACACAGACACAAACATACGAACTTGCACGCACCAAGACAAACGCAGAGACGCGCAAGGACAACCGCAAACACAAAGACAAGCGTGAAAAGCAAAACACAAAGGTAGGGAGAACCACACAAACACAAAGATGCGCACAGTGACAGACGCAAACACGAAGTCAAAGACAATCACATACGAGGCCAAAGACAACTACATTTGCAACGAACAACATACACACACAACTTGCACACAAAGACAGAGGCCAACAAGAGCTCCAGCACAGGCAAACACAAGCACACGTGGTGACAGGCGCACCTACAGACAGAAGCACACAGACAAACGCACAATCAAACAAAGATAGACAAGGAAACAACACCAAACACAAAGACACGCGTAGAGACAAGCAGGTCACAAACACAAACACAGCCACGAGCACACTCACAAAACAAACGTAGAGACAAGACAAGCGGAAACCAAAAGAACCGGATAAACGCGTCGACGCAAACACAGACACAGAGAAAAGCCTAAGCAAAGCTAACATAGCAACAAGCACAGGCATGCGTGCGCACAAAGACAAAATGCAAAAACAAGCGCAACACACGTACAATCACACGCAGATGCGCAGACGCAAGGAGCGGGCCAACGCAAACACAACGGCCAACATTGAGCCGATCACACTTATTATCATAAAGACCGACATAGCAGCCAGCACAAGTCAAACACCAAGACAAAGACAAGGGTAAGCACGCAAGTAGACGCAAGCACAAACGCAAGATCAAACTCAGAGACAAATGCAGAGACAAAGAAACACGCAAGCTAAAGCACGCAGGCAAGCATAGAGACAAACACATGCACACACACACACACACCCACGCATGTCTAGCACGAGCACGATTAAGAGCACAAAGATAAAGACAAGGACACAGAAACACAACCAGCTGGTTGGCATTTTTGTGTTGCTTCTGTGCTGATCAGGCCTTCACGGCGACCGCTCGCACGTCTGAAAACTGGGCTTATGCTCCGGGTATGGCGCGGGTGAGCAGTCGGGCTTTGGCTGCGACTCACCGGTCCTCAGACAACCCGGAATACTCGGCCTTGGACACTGAGCAGATTTGCATGTTCCCGTGAGCAATCCTGGTGGCCCATGTTGTTTACACAGCAGCTTGTGACACCTCGGCCACCTTGGCCTGTGCTCTCCGGAACATCTTACGGCATGTGCCACTTCAAAATCGGAAGTGTGGCCTTGGAGCTTGGAGGCTCGGATGGAGTTTATTTGACCAATGAGGCAAAGACCTTTGAGGTCGTCAGCGGGCGCTGCCAATTTCCAAAACAGAGGCAACATCCAAACAACCGGCGTTTAGACAGCACGAGCGCAACATCCAAAGCAACGCATGAGACTCGGAAATCAGCCATGAGCAAAATCAGAAATCAGGGAAATGCAATTCAAAGCGGGACGGTTGGCAGACTCTGGGATTCCGGGATCGATAGCAGTTCGAGCATTTGGGATGGTTTTGACATTCGCGATGATTGTGGTTGGGACTGTGCGGCGTGGGCATGTGTTTGTTGCGTTTGCTTTCGTGTAGCATTTGTCTGATTGGTCCAGGCTGCAGATGTGCAAGTACTGAACAATACTGAACAAAGCTTAGCCAACCCCGAGCCATTCCCGAAGCCCTAAGAAACTCGCCTGAAACCAAGCCAGAACAAACCCTCAACCTCAAGCCAACTCTGAGCCCAGCCATTTCCCAGTCTGAACCAAGCCTAAACCAGCTCCTAGAGCATCCTAGACTTAAGCCAATCTGCAATCCAGGCAAATTCCACCCTAGCCCCCCGAATCCCTTTACTGCCGGTTTCTCACCCACGGATTTTTGAATAAGCCGCCCTAAATTCCTCCCGAATCTTAGCCACCCTCAATGACACCCAAATTCACCGCGAAACCTACCCTAAGAAACCCCAAGCTGACCCTCAACTAAAGCACCCCTCAAATTCAGAGCCACTGGCTCACATTGCCAACGTAGCTCATGATTTTGCGTGTATTTTTTTGCGTTTGCGTCGCTGCAAAGTGACTGTTGACTACGGGGGAGTCGTACCCGGGAACCCCTCGTCTTGGACAAGCTTGGGGGGAGTACTACAATGTCAAGAAATTGCCACGGTACGTGGGTCCTCCCTCCCGCCCCCAATTTGATTTGGGCTGGGGCTCATTGATGTTTGCGACACGCCGAGTCAAGCATAACCAAGCATGAGCCCGCCAAGAAAAAATAGAGGTTCAGGCAGTATGATGGAGACAGTTGGGGAGATTAAATTGGGGATGTGACGTAGCGCCTGCTTGAAGGAAGTTTGTGGGCCTGAGTCGGCCGATTTCATATTTCCCTATAGGGCTGAATCTCCCGACGAATTTCACCACGGCTTTGACCGTGCGTCAGCCGAATTTCCCTCCAACCCGCCGTAACTGGCTCAGTGGACCAGCTTGTTACATCCATCGCAATATGTACTTTGTTTCGAATAGGAGTTGGAGCATGCTCTCACCTGGTGCAAGGCGCAAAGCACGTCTTGCAGTAGCTTGAGCTCGATGCCTGCCTGGCCTGAATGGAGCGATAAAAGAGAGCAAGCGCGCGAATATTGGACATAGATATGGTAGACTTAGTTGACATGAATGTACGCAGCTTGTAGCTACTAATCCATGTTGTGAACTTGACGCACAAGCACGAAATGAGCAACCGGCAGATGTTGTTGGAGTGCTGTGAGCCTCTGACTCCCTGACAAGCGGATGTATTGACACCATTTGAGCACCCCTCCCATCATCGTATTGGCAAGGAATGAGACCGATATGTGGGCAAACAGCTGGAAGAAGTCACTGCTATGAGATGCTATGTCTGTTGCGCTACGCAACAAGTGCAGAGTTGCCCACGCAAGCCTCATGTGCACCGGCGTGTATACAACTGCTAGGCTCATGAACGTAGATGCGGGGTAGATGTGGGCCGATGGCGTCATGTGGCTGTGGCTGTTGCCCTGGCTGCTACAAGTGCGGGCAGTGAACCCAGGGCAGGCATGCAACTTGGCAAGGTCTTGAGCGAACGTGGCCAGGGCTCTCTTGTTGGTGGGTGAGCTTTGGTTTTGCTTTCGATTTTCTTAGGATTCGTTCAGAGGTGGCTTAAAGGCTAAGGGTTGGCTTAGAGTTGGCTCAAGGAGATTCAGGTGATTCGGGGACTATTGAGGGTTGATTTAGGCCCATTCATGGTGATAAGAGTAATTAGGCCGAGGGCTTCCAACTGTAGGGTGTGTTTGCGGTTTGCGCCTCGGCGCTAAAAATAACAGAAAAGCAAGGCGTGCAGCCGGCACTGGGAGAGGGCTGGAAGGAAGCCAGGTGCTGGCGGGTGCTGGGCTACGTGTTGAAAGACGGGGCCGCGCTGCGCTTGGGGCGGATGTTTCAAGTTATTCCATCCATCGTGCAGATGCTCACAATCTGGTGACGGCAGGAAACACCCAACTTCCTCAGATCGAGACTCATCACTTGCTTCAAGTTGAGGAATGAATCCAATACGAGAAGCCTTCATGATTTGGGACATGTTTCCTCCGAGTACTGTTTGGCAACTCCTCTCGCAACGCACAGCGACGAACCAACTCAAAAAAGAATGTCTGTCCGCATTCTGCGTTCACTTGCGTCAGCGTCAAGCTACATGCCGTGCATCAACACCCTCCTTCTGCTCTGCACCTGCACGATGCTACTCTCAAAAGGTGCAGGCGCTGATGAGGGCGAGTCTCACGGCAAGGGTTACGGTGACAGCTCCCACACTGGCTGGGGCACCAAGGAAATCCGGGAAGCATGCTGGCGGATCGTGTTTTCCTGAAGGCCAATGTTGAAAATGCCCATATAACGCCCAAGACGTTGACCTTCAACCGTGCGCGCGACCAGGTGACTCAGTGTGGCTTCAAGGCATTCAAGTGAGTGAACAGAATGGTGGTCAGTCTTGACGCAACCCTCAGCCACCCAGCTGAACAATATGACGGCGACGCTGAGTGGTTGGCAGAGGTCATCAGGTTCCTGGTCCAGTTTCTGCTGCAGAGCAGTGGTGACATCATCGGATGGGACATCGCCCCTGCTCGCGCTAGCCAGTGTAAGTTTGACGAAGGACAAGGTAACTTCGCGGGCGTCGACTCCTTACGCTCAGCGTTCCGCGCACCCACCTCCTACGAGCGTGCGGTGCTTCCGGTGGACGCGAAGGGCGCTTTGTCCAGAGAGGGTTTGTGTGGGTGGCCGTTTGTGTGAGAGGGCTCCTTTTCCGCCGCCGCGACACGCTCGTCAATCTCCTGCCTGCTGGACGAGGCCGCGCAGCGCAACTTGCTTGAGCGGGAGTAACAGCAGCGTGTTTTGTGGTTGCTACGAACCACCCCGTAATGACTGGTGCTACTTGAGGTGGACTTTGAATCCGGCGTGAAACTATGTATGAGCTAGTGCTGCACGTCGCGTGCTTGTGCGATTCACCGCGCCAGCGGTTGATGCCCAGGTCGCAGGAATCAGAGCGTTTGACTGCTCTGCTGAATTCATCTCACAAGTTTCGCGTGGCGCGGCTCAACGCATTTTGCAGCGTCTCTCTTGCTAGAACTGCCTTGTTTTCATGTCATTTGCATTCCCGAGGCCAGCGCGTCTGATTTGATACGGTTTTAAGGTGTCTGCGATGTAGGATAGACATGTGTATATTCCGTAGTTCCGGGACCAATGGGCCAGCACTCTCTAACGACGCATTATTCTACGAATGGATGCCGTTCGCGGGAAAACGCGAAAAAAAGGCAGCGCAAGAAAGCGACAGAGTGACAGAGAGAGAGAGAGAGAGAGAGAGAGAGACAGAGAGAGCAAGAGAGCGTGAGAGAGAGAGGGGCAGAGAGCGAGAGAGAGAGAGAGCGAGATAGGGGCGGAGAGCGAGAGAGAGAGAGAGGGAAAGAGAACGAGAACTAGAAAGAGAAAGAGAAAGAGAGAGAGAGAGAGAAGGTGGGTGCGCGCACGGACTTTACTGGTGACGCAGTGCTTGTCGCAGCCAGCAGCTGGGTTTGCGCATTGCATTTCCCATGGTGGCTGACTCTCGGACCCGCCTGGTGACTGGCCCACTGAGCGCCGCTCACTGTTTTTGAGGGTTGCTGGGGATTGGGGATGGCTGACTGACCGTTCTCGTGGCTGAAAGGTGGTAGTCCCTCATCAAGTCGTTCTATCCCCTTTCCAGGTATAGATGGCGCTGTTCTCCCTGACCAGCGCGCTAACATTACCTTTGACGCCTGGCACTGTTCAGCGAAGTAGACTTGCCCTTCAGCCACGTTTTGAGCAAAGTTGATGGTTCTTGGCCATACTGAGAGAGTTCGGGCTTTTCGGTGACATGTGCCAACTCAAAGCTGAAAGCAGCACGGCTGAGGACGGGATTTCAATGCCCGTTGGCGTTGTCATGGGCACTTGGGAATCCAGCCGAATCGTTTCTTGGCAAGTTCGGTGATGCCACACCTGTTGTCACTGATGTTTGCCGGTTGCTCACACCAGTCACCCAATGGGGCAATTCATGTCTGAGATTGTGATGCCGAAATTGAATCAGGTTGCTGAGATCTATAGCATTATTGCCTCAGAGGTCCTTGGCTTTGCAGTGCATCAGACTGTATCAGCAGCTGGTCATTTAATGTTTATGGCGTTGACAGGCGGGGCTTTGCCGTGGGTCACGCCATTTGGGAGGGGGGCAGTCGTGAAGAACACACCACCAGGCATCAGGTGCACATCTTGCATGTGGCGGGAATTCCTGTTTTGCATTTCTCGAGGTTTGTCAAAAAGATCAGTCCTTGCCAGATAACTGGGAACGCGGGCCTTCCGCAATGAAGCAGCGCCGTTGCCTGAAGCAGCAACAATTGTTTGGTTGCTGCAAAGGACGTCCCTTATTCGCGGGGAAAAAAGAAACTCGTCGCGAGTCCAGTTCGTGGCCAGGCAGAAAATTGCTCCGCTTTGCCGGACAATTTAGCAGTTTTGCTGGCAAGTTGCACCATCTTGCGTTTTTGAAACATCAAAGTTGGCAAACACGAAACAAATCCGGCAGGCAAGAATGAATGACTGCCATTTGATCAAGAACACATCGTCCTTGACAACAAACTTGTGTATTTTGGAAGACTTGTAAGAACGGTCGAGACAGATTGCATTGCCATCGGTCAAAGCACATGAGCAAGCTTTGCTGGGATTGATCGCATCTTAAAGTCAAACTCAGAAAGGAGGAACACATAGTCGGGTTGCCGACAGCGTATGACAAGCTTGACATATGCTGAACTTGTGATAGAACTGCATTGCGGCGGTGCCTTTTGGCCTCTGTTCCTGCACGTTCCGTGTTGTCAAAGCGCCTACTTGCGAGCTGTGAATTCTCTTCTCGTTGTGCTTGTGCAGTTCCCGGATTGTTGCATTTTTTGCCACACACAATTCCATGAGTGGCACACTTACTTTATAAACTTGAAGTCTTGACCCTAGGTTCCAGTGGTCCAGGGTGAGCAGGAAACATCTGGGGTGGCAGGAATGGAGGCTGCCTGCTGATCAGGGCATTTTCCTGCAACCTGCTCGGGGTTGGTGATCCCTGAGTCTCTGCAGATTTCATGCTTTGAAGCTGCTTGAATGCTGCTTGGTATCAGTGAATGCTCGTATCGTTTTGCCGCGTGCACTTGCCCCTTTTCTACACAGCTACATCCACAATAATGGACGAACGCGTATATAGAAAAGCTACGAACCAAAGCCCACGCAGAGGATTTACTTGTCATGTCCGGCTGATTGTCCCCGGGTTGTCTCGTTGATATAAAGAACACCATCAACAGTTTCAGGGTTGCCTCCCCTCAGTTCTTTTCCTTAGTACCCTTCCTCTCGATTACCGCAATCTCTATCAAGCTTCCAGCGATCATTTTCCCGAATTTGCCTGCGCTGTATCTCTCGTATGCTGAATTCAATTGGTCGACCTATATCTTACCTGAAACAAACTGCAGTATGTTCTGTGCAGAAAGGTCTTGCTGCTAGAACACCTTGGAAGGCCGGTCGCGTGGATCGGAGCCTGTTGGGTTCCGTACCTTTGAACCTGAAACATCACCCAAGTTGGATTTGCGTGTTTTTGGCCCGTCGAGTCAGAGCAGTATCCCTAGAAGGTTCTAACGCTTTTCCAATGCTTGCAACAGAGGATTGAAGCACGCATACACACACAAACACTGGTGCAGGTTTTGCAAGGATACATTCACACTTCTTGTCAAGCATCCTGATGTCCATTTTGCATACTACAACTATATGTGTATATATATATATAATATGCATATATATATATATGTATACATACACATATATACCCCAATTGCCTGATGACCTGGACTACACCGCCTCCACACATGTATCCTCTGCTTGAGCTCAGCGTAACGCATGAGCTGCAGTGCCTGCATGAGTGCTTGTCTATCACGCCTTTTGATGAAGATCTGGCCCATTGGTCTTTGTTTTTCCAAGAGGCAGAGTTTGCTTTCAAGTTCATCGCCAGGCTGGAATCCTGTCTGCAACTGCGGATTTCCCACGCAATACCATGCCTCTTGGATAGAGTTTTTGCAATGATCGAAACCATTGCTGAAAGAGGCACGTGTTTCCATGCAGTAGGGCGGAATCCTGAATATCACAAGTCAACCTACCCCAACATAACCTGGTGAAATGCAAAGGAACCCTTCTCACCTGCTCAGACTATGTAGAGAATAAACTTTAGCAGCGGGGGTTGGCTTTACTTGGTTTGACCCCGGCAGATGCTTGGCGCGAATAGGCCTTGCCTGAGTTGCTTGAGGTGGCCTTCGAGTTTTGGCGCTACACATACACAGAGGAGTGGTGGACAGCTCTGCACCTCGATGCCAAAGAACTCAGTGCTTGACTTCAGTGGCCAATCCGGATTTGATAGACACGACGACTCAATAAGGTAAAGAAAGCATTGCTCGGAGTGCATCCAAAGTCATTAGTTGGGTGTAATTTCATGTCCATCCCACATTCCTCCGCAGTCGTTGGCATGATCATTGTTCTGACAATGAGGAGTTTGGACCAAGATTCAAAGTTCATGTCTGGATATTCGCCCCCCAAACAGAGAAATGGGTTTATCACCAATTCTTACAGCCCCCGCCCGACCATCCTGGAGCTGGGTAGCTTGATGCGCTGGATCTGTCGGATTTTTGATCAAGCAGCCACAGCAGTTCAGATTGCTGAATAGGCTGTGCCTGGCCGAAAATATATTTGTGTGTAAATTGTAAGGCAAAACAAGCAAACGCAAGCGAGGATCTTTCCTATGTGAATACCAGGCTGAACTCTGCGAAGGCATGGGCCATCACATGAATGAGTGTGGCATGGAAGGATGAAGGGCAAAGAGAGAAGCACACCCCTCCGCGCCGAACAAGAAGAGGTTGGTCTCCCCACGCAAATGGCGCAGAAATTGGGTTGGTCCAGCCCAATCAACCTGAGGCCTGGGATCGCGCCGGTTCGTGCGGGGAGCCTTAAATACGCGCCTTGGCGCCGAGTCTTTGGGGAGTCAACTGGGTATGGTTTTGGGCGTTTGTTTGTGCACAGAAAGCAGGATCGGGTGAGGCTTATTGCTACCACAGCCCCTTTGGAGTTGATTTGAGCCTTCCGGCAAATTGTGCTGGGATTCCGTCATTGGTTTAAACACTCAGCTCCCAAAGCTCTCAAGTGAAGAGTTGAGACCCGCCTCTTGTAGCATGCTTTTCGCGTGACGGGGGGTCGCGTAAGGTCTGTTGGTAAAACTTGCGCCTTGTAAGCTCCGCGACCTTCAGCCAACGCTACAGGGACCCCGAGGAATTTGCATGTTGTTGCAGCACCATGCACCTGTCTCGCGCAGGCATACGATGGGGGGAAGGGGGGCCTGGCCAGCCAAAAGAGTGCATTTTCATTGCGTGCTTGGGGGTGAGGGGGGGCTGGAGTAAGGAAGACGATGATTTCCATACTGTGTGGCTTCAAAGGGATCCGGGGCACACTTGTTTTGGCCTTGGATGCAACATGAGAACTGGGGTGGAAGCAACGGTAAATTTGAATGTGTCGCGCCGTTTCGGATATTTTAGGCTGGGAGAAACCGAGGGGTTTGGGTTTAGGGCACGAGTACGTGTGAAGTCAGGACATGACCATGCGCCGTAGCCAGAGGTTGGATGAGTTTCCGCATTCGTGAAATCTGCCTCTCGCATAAAGCTGCCAGAAGAACCAAAGCAAAAGACAGACTCCCCCAGAATGGCAAGACGTCAGAAGGCCCAGTAAAGAGGCTCAAAAGCAGTGGGATCCTGGCCACGGCGTTGCCTAGTTTGATGATTCCACGAAGCTCTAGTCCGTGCGCAAGTGGCTTGCAACAAGACAGCGTAAGACACGCGGAAGGTTTCGCGGAAGCACTGGAACCAAAAAGTCAAAGCGGTTTCGGGCACCTCTCTGGGTTGAGAAGGCACGGCCACTTTTGGAAGACTCGGATCTTCAGCATCGTGAGGCCAAGGCAACCAGGGAGGCTGTAGGTCATTGCGTATCGTTGGCCCTGGTGAAGAAGAGGGTTGCAGCGACCGTGAGTCGCAACAGCGACTTGTGCTGTGATTCGTGAGTCGCATTCCCCCAAAACCAAGCTTCCCAGCCGCTTGGCCTTGCCGCCAGCCCGGTCCGCTGTCGGAGGCTGGCTATGACGGGCTCTTCGTGTTTCCCGGCGCCCATGCGCGCGGGCTGGAGCACGGCCTCGCCTTGGAGCAACCGGAAAGCAACTTGAGATGCTAGCCATCAAGACGTAGGGATTGTCAACCCCTGGGAGTTGAAACAGCCAACATATATATATATATATATGTACGTATAGAAATCAAGAGTCTTATTCAGTGAAAAGTAGCGTTGGCCACATGAAAAGCTTTTTGGAGGTCGATGAACTTGTGCTAGACATCGCGTGCTGACCAAAGAACGCTGATAGCTCGCCCTTGCCACGGGAGTAAGGTATTACCGTTCCTACAACACCTCCTGGTTCCAGCCGACTCAGCACCTGGCGAAAGTTGGACAGGCCATTTAGTTCGACCTGCAGCTTTCGGACAATGTAAGAATCCCTCGCACTGGGTCTTGCGCATGCTTTGAACTACGTCGGGGCTCGTGGAAGGTTGACTTGAACAGACTGGAGACCTGCATCGAAGTGTGGAAGCTTTGGCCTGACTTGTGGTAGCGAAGCCAAGTGTGCAATGTGCAGGTTGATTTCTGCGACCGAGGATCAATCAGAATTTTGGCGAGATCGCCAACGCCTACTTGGCAATTACAGGGGATGTAGAAGGCACAATGCTTTATAACAACTCCACGGTGTTTAATTGCTGGCGGGAGAAGTGGTTTGTGACTCGGCTGAAAGCCATCATGCAATTTGTGCTCGCTGTTCTGCCATCGCAACTACTGTGCGGTCCTGTCATGCACATTGGCATCCTATTGCATTCTGGCTTGGACACCAAGGTAGGCCCTGGTTGCCGCCATGATCCAGGAAATTGCGGGGCACTGGTTTCTCGCACTGGCTGGGGAACCCCAGCTAAATTCTTTGAGTCGTGAGTCCAGTGTTCGGACGCTGTGCTGATTTTCATTGGTTCGCCAGATTCGGCGAGCACGCGCCGGACCCAAGTCAAGGAGTCCCACACAAGCACCAGAGCTGGTCAAGTGGCAACTCATAGGTGGATGATACTAATTGGACTGGACTGGGCTAGCCTTGCTGTGGTTGGCAGCTGAGCCTTGAGCACGTCAAGTCTGAAGGCCTGCTATCAAATCTTTCCAGCCCCACTAGATTTGGATTTGGCAAGAACTTACCTGACTGTCGCTGGTCGGATTCGTGCTGTGGCCGAGGACTCATGGAAGTCATTCAGAAAATTTTCTTCCTCCAGATGCCCCTGGCATATGCAAATGCCAAACCGGAGGACTGGCTCGCAGCACCTTATGTGCGTTTCCGTCGGGGCGCTTGTCTGGGATTCAGGAGTATGTGCCGCTGAACCAAGAGTTGCAGAGCCTGGCGCTCCCTGGCTGCTAGTTGCAGGGAAGTTCGATGCAGTCGTGACGTTGGTCGTGTTGGCATGTGTGTTTCAGGTATTGGTGGGAGCCAGATACGCAGTTTGCCTTGGACAATCCGCAGCTGGTGCGATTTGCGCCGCATAACGTGGAAGAATTCCGTCGGGGAATTCAAAGGACAATGAAGGAGACAGTCAAATCCAGTCGGAGACTGAGAGTACTGTACGCGTGGCTAGGCGGTGCAGTCCACCATGGCAGGAAGCAGATTGTTTTGGAAGATTTGTAGGCGAGCTTTTGAGAGCTAAGCATGGTATTTAGATCCAGGATCCGAGATCCAAGATTTCTCGTGTATTTTTTGGAGCAATATTCATATGTCTAATCCAAGATCCAACACTTCTGGGGGACCTTTGGGAGCCATCTTGGATCCATGTTGCCCCCCAGTTCCCCAAATACTAAATACCGGTGTTTAGAAAGAGTTCAAGAGGGGGACATGCATAGATCCAATAGTGCCCCCACAGTTCATCCAGAAAAATGTGGATCCTCCATGTGTCCTTATGTTAGCATTGTTTGCGGGATTTTGGATGGTAAATTAGCCAAACAAGGGCCAGACACCAGATCTTTTGGCATCCAAAATTCACAATGAGTCTTGGGCGTTTTGCATCGCATCTTGAATCCAGAAATGCTTGACGACGCTTCAAAGCTCTTTAGGGCTCAAGAGTCTGGTTTCAAGAAGCCCTGAAGCCAGCGAACTCTATCTGAAAAGGAAGGTTTTCGAGGCGTGTGGTACACCTCTCACCACCCCCCCATGTTCCAATCTAGTAGGGCCTTAAGATGCATGAACATGCATCAAAGCATCTCCAGATTCAAGATTCTAAGGACTCTTTGTACAAGGAACTCAAAACTAGGGTCCTGACAACCTTAAATCTTGAACATTCAATCCAAACAAGCTTCAAAGCGCCTTAACGCGTTTTCGGTATGGCAAGCATCCTTCGCACCTGTGCAGAGATTCCCTTTGTTGAGAGCTGACGTGTGCAAACGCTTCTGTGAACTCGGAATTTTTGTCCATGGCAACATGGCAAGATCAGGAATTTGAAGTCGTCTAGAAAGGAAGCCATTTGCACTTGACTACAACCAGACCGAGTTTGCTGGTATTTAGGTACTTGTGAGTCACGTTCATCCTTTTCTCATTTTCTGAATTGCAGGAGCCCATTCCTCTTGACACGCTGACTGCTGCTGGCTGGCAGTTTCTTGGCGCATGGGATGGACAGGCCGGTGTTGGCACAGCCTGCCACAACTCTGCGAAACACCCCAATCTCCGTCCAGCTTCGCCCTGCTGTGCTCAGCTGCGTGCTACGTTGCTTCATTGGTTAACGCTGTGCAAGATGGTGCACCCCGACGCAACAAATCATTCATGAGACCACAAAGGCATGAAGAGCAGTATGTGCTGCGCAACCTCATTACCTCTCATCGCGATGCAGCGCTGCGGAACACAGCGCTACTACGCAACTTAGCGCGTGCTAACACACACACACACATACGTTTATTTCTATCTATCTACATATACATATATGCGCATGTGTATATATGTGTACATGGGCGAATGGTTTCGAACCTGGTAGATTCTGAACTGACACTTTGTTTACAAACCTTGCTTGAAGCCATGCGCTAGTCATACACGTATGTATATTATTTACATATGCATTATAGACATGGCTTCAGGCTTTGTCCAGTGCATCATTGCACAGTACCGAGCCAAATCAGGAGGCGCCGTTCAATGCTCCTCATTGTGGGGCGGGGGCCCGGGGTCTATAAATAAATATATATATATACTTGTATATATTAGGTATATGTATGTGGAGCATATGTGGAGCATCAGACTGGTGTGAATGGCGCTGCCGCAAGTCTGCAGGCGCTTTCCGCATTCACCAGCACACAAGTTCATTCACAGGTCCGCAAACGCATACTGCCAGGACCGAACGCACACCCACCCACCCACCCACCCACCCACCCACCCACCCACCCACCCACCCACGCACGCACGCACGCACGCACGCACGCACGCACGCACGCACGCACGCACGCACGCACGCACGCACGCACGCACGCACGCACGCACGCACGCGCGCGCAAACACATAAACACAAGCGCACAAACACACAAAGACACAACACAACGATACTACGCAACGACACTACGCAACGACACTACGACACAAAGACACAAAGACACAACCACACAACCACACAAACACACAAACACACACGCACACACGCACGCACGCACGCACACACGCACGCACGCACGCACGCACGCACGCACGCACGCGCGCGCGCAAACGCACAAACACACAAGCAAACAAACACACAAACACACAAGCGCACAAAGACACAAAAACACAAAGACACAATCACACAAACACACAAAGACAAAGACACAACGCAACGACGCAACGACACAAAGGCACAAAGACACAAGCACACAAACACACAAACACACAAACATACAAACACACAACCACACAAACACACACACACAAACACACAAACACACAAGCACACAACACACACAACCACACAAACACACAACGACACACAAAGACACCAAGACACAAAGACACAAAGACACAAAGACACAAAGACGCAAAGACACAACGACACAAAGACACAAAGACACAAAGAAACAAGGACACAAGGACACAACGACACAACGACACAAAGACACAACGACACAACGACACAAAGACACAAACACACAAACACACAAACACACAAACATACAATCACACAACCACACAAACACACAAACACACAACAACCCAACCACACAAACACACAACCACACAAACACAAAGACACAAACACACACAACCACGCACAAACACAAACACACACACACACACACACCCCCACAAACACACACACACACAACACACACAAACACACGCGAACACACACACACACAAACACGCACACACACACAAACACACACACAAACACTCACACAAACGCAAACGCACACAGAAAAACACACACACACACACTCACACAAACACAAGCACACAAACACACAATCACACAAACGCACACACACAAGCACACACACACAAATACATTCAAACACACACACACACAAACACACACACACACAAAACACACAAAACAAAGCACACACACAAGCACACACACAGACACAAAACCACAAAGAGACATAAAGACCACAATCACACACACAAACACACAAACAAACAACCACAAACAATCAAACAATCAAACACAAACACACAAACACACACAAACACACACAGAAGCACACACACAAGCACGCAAACACTCACACACAAGCACACACACACAGCACAGACACACGCACAAACACACGCTCACACAGATACACACACACAAACACAAACACAAACACAGACAAACACACTCACACAAACGCACACAATAACACAAACACACACACACACACACAAAATCACACAAACACACACACAACCACACACACACACACAAAAACATACACACAAACACATAATCACACAAACACGCACACAAACACGCACACAAACACGCACACAAACACACACACACAAACACACACACAATCACACGCACACACAACACACAAACACACACACACACACACGGACACACACACACAAACACACACACACAACCACACACACACAGACACACACACACTGACACAGACACAGACACAGACACAGACACAGACACAGACACAGACACAGACACAGACACAGACACAGACACAGACACAGACACAGACACAGACACAGACACAGACACAGACACAGACACAGACACAGACACAGACACAGACACAGACACAGACACAGACACAGACACAGACACAGACACAGACACAGACACAGACACAGACACAGACACAGACACAGACACAGACACAGACACAGACACAGACACACACAGACACACACAGACACAGACACAGACACAGACACAGACACAGACACAGACACAGACACAGACACAGACACAGACACAGACACACACAGACACACACACACACAGACACAGACACACACACAGACACAGACACACACAGACACAGACACAGACACAGACACAGACACACACAGACACAGACACAGACACAGACACAGACACAGACACAGACACAGACACACACACACAGACACACACACACACAGACACACACACAGACACACACACAGACACACACACAGACACACACACAGACACACACACAGACACACACACAGACACACACACAGACACACACAGACACACACAGACACACACAGACACACACACAGACACACACAGACACACACACAGACACACACAGACACACACAGACACACACAGACACACACAGACACACACAGACACACACAGACACACACAGACACACACAGACACACACAGACACACAGAGACACACACAGACACACACAGACACACACACAGACACACACAGACACACACAGACACACACAGACACACACACAGACACACACAGACACACGCAGACACACACACAGACACACGCAGACACACACAGACACACACAGACACACACAGACACACGCAGACACACGCAGACACACGCAGACACACGCAGACACACACAGACACACACAGACACACACAGACACACACAGACACACACAGACACACACAGACACACACAGACACACGCAGACACACACAGACACACACAGACACACACAGACACACACAGACACACACAGACACACACAGACACACACAGACACACACAGACACACACAGACACACACAGACACACACAGACACACACAGACAAACACTGACACACACAGACACACACAGACACACACAGACACACACAGACACACACAGACACACACAGACACACACAGACACACACAGACACACACAGACACACACAGACACACACTGACACACACAGACACACACAGACACACACACAGATACACACAGACACACACAGACACACACAGACACACACAGACACACACAGACACACACAGACACACACAGACACACACAGACACACACAGACACACACAGACACACACAGACACACACAGACACACACAGACACACACAGACACACACAGGCACGCACAGACACACACAGACACACACAGACACACACAGACACACACAGACACACACACAGACACACACAGACACACACAGACACACACAGACACACACAGACACACACAGACACACACAGACACACACAGACACACACAGACACACACAGACACACACAGACACCCACAGACACACACAGACACCCACAGACACACACAGACACACACAGACACACACAGACACACACAGACACACACAGACACACACAGACACACACAGACACACACAGACACACACAGACACACACAGACACACACAGACACACACAGACACACACAGACACACTCAGACACACACAGACACACACAGACACACACAGACACACACAGACACACACAGACACACACAGACACACACAGACACACACTGACACACACAGTCACACACAGACACACACAGACACACACAGACACACACAGACACACACAGACACACACAGACACACACAGACACACACAGACACACACAGACACACACAGAAACACAAAGACACACAC